AAAGGTCAGAGCATTTAGATCTGGGAGGGACTTTAGACTAAAGAACAGGGACAGGAGGCATGTGAGAGCATGGACTATTAGAGCTGAAAGAGAACTGAGAATGGAGAATGTGAGACCCAAAAGAGGTCACCAATTAAAGAAAAAGCAGAGAGAAGGGCACTAAGTACAGAGAACACTGATCTCTAATGAGATTGAAAGGACTTTAGAACAAAAATATTCTAAAGCTGGAATATCAAAGGTGGATAAGAACTTATAATATAGAATATCCGACATGGAAAGGACCTTAGAGAACAACTTGTTAAAGCATCTCAAGTATCAGGTGTGAAAATTAATTGATCCATGTCACACAGCACTTTACTGGAAGATCTAGGACTGGACAAAAATCTCCCAAATGATATGCCAATGTTCTTTCTACTACACAATGCTGCCTCTATTTCCCAAATCTGAAGCTTGAGAGAAGAATACAGTTTCTGGACAGGAACAGGGAAGTTGTCTTTTTCTAATTTTCAATCAGGATTATGCCTGCCCTGCTCCCTTTCCCAACACATCTCCAGTCAATCTAGTAATTAAGCGTCTCATGTCTATTACCTTGGAGTAAGTAATGAAGGAATGCTACCATTCCAACTCAAAAGATCTGATAATTGTTGACATAGTACAATGAATAGAATGCTGGACTTTGACCTTCTAAGACTGAGTTAAATTCTCAGAGAGTTATTGACCACGTAACAATGGCTAATACACTTTTATAGAGGCATCTGATGGTGCAGTGGATAGAGCACTGAACCTGGAATCAAGACAAACAAGGACAAATCAAATTTCGCCTTAGATTCTTTCCCCACATAATTTCTCTAGTAATGGGGGATTGTGCCACCGTAGTGGAAACAGGGAGCCATTAATTATTTTTGAGGTGGAAAGTTGTATGAACAAGTGGGCATTTTAGGAAAAATGATTTGGCTGCTTTTGGGAGAAGGAATTGGAAAAGGAAAAGAATGGAGGCAAAGAGACTACTTAGGAAGCTATTGCAATAGTTGAGGGGAGAAGAGATGAGAATCTGAACCAGGACAGAAGCCTGAATGGAAAAAGGAGGACAAATTTATGAGGTGTTTATAGCAGTGGTTTTTAACCTAGAGATCCATGGATAGTTTTAAAGGGAACTGTAAACTGGAATGGGGGCGGAAATCATATCTTCATTTTAACTAACCTCTAACTGAAATTTAGCATTTCCTTCAATTATTTGATCTATTTAAAAACTTTATTCTGAGAAGGATCCATAGACTTCACCTGACTGCTAAAAAAAAGCCCAAGATACAAGAAGTGTTAAGAAACCTTATTTTAGAGACGAAATCACTTAACTCTTAGTGTCAGTTTCCTCATTAGTAAAATAGGGATAACAATACGATAGTGATACCAGTATACTAACCATGCAGTTGTTGTGAGGGCCAAATGAAACAAGATATCTCACAGATATTTCACAGAACCTCGGGATGTGAAGTATGTTGCTAAATATTATATTGGACGCAGCTATGATGATGATGATGATGATATTATTAAAGGTTCTCAGAGTTGTGAAGGTCATTAAAGGTCATAACTGAGCCCCTTTCTAAGGTAGGAACCTCTCCTCCAATATCCATACAAGTAACCATCCATTCTAAGAAATCCAGGTCCTTCCCTATTGATATGTAAGTCAATATTAGAAGCTCAGAGGGAGAGAATCCCAAAGAGATCATGTAGTCTCATCTACCCCTTGAAAGGAATCCTCTCTACAACATACCTGACAATAAGTGCTCTGTCTTTGTTTACTGTCTGCTCAACATTTTTACCAATGGTTTGAATGAAGTTATAGATGACATGCTTATCAATTTGGGGGATGACAAAACATTTCAGAGAATAGCATATATATTGATGACAGAATCAGGATTCAAAAAACTCTGAAAAGATGAGATCTAAAAAGATAAACTTTACTGAGTCACTTTCACTTTGACACCTCCAGTGACTAGGAGCTCATCAAATCCAAAACTAGACTATGACATTGTACAATCATCTAGCCAACATCTCTCCTTGGTGTCCACTATGATAGCAAGAGAGACTTTTTGAATGCTTTACTAATAACTAGATGCACTGAGTTTGCAGCTGTGACATGATCTATCTGCCTATGAATATGATCAAAAAGTTAAAAGAATTTAGTTTGATCTGAGTTGTTCATAAAGTTATGCTGACTCTAAATGATTACTACTGATCTTCCAGAATGTTCATAAACCATCTCTTCCAATCATACCTAAGAATTTGGTGAGGAATCAAAGTCAAGGTCAAAATCCATTAGGGTTCACCATCAATCTTCTTCCTTTATTTGACAAATAGAAGAACATTTTTCTTTATCCAGTCCTGTGGCATCTCTCCTATTCTCCACAGTCTCTCAAAGATCAATGCCAGTGGTTCAATAATCGTATCCTCTAGAACTTTCAGAACCCTGAGATATAGTTCTTCTAGACCTGATCACTAGGGAATTACCTAAGGGGAACGAGATGCTCCTTTACTGTCCTCTCACTTTTCTTAATTTTTAGCTCCATTTTTATAATGCTTGTTCTAGCCTACAGAACCAACTTCTTGTCTAAAGATCATGCAATTTGTCAGAGAAAGAAAAAGTCAAATAAGATTTCATTAATCCTTCCTTCTCTCTAGCCTTCATTTTCATCATTCTATCCAACCTGAGCAGCCACCCCATCCTTTCTTTTGATTTCTTCTCCAAAAAAGACCTTGGAAAGTCCTTTTCATTATATACAAGTTATCATGTGACTTTCTATTTTTCCCTTCCCTTCACCTCAAATTTTGAGATGGTTACCATTAGACACATATCTGTATGTGCTTGGGAGTATACACATATATACACACATATACATACATATACACATACCCATATATATGTGTGGGGGGGTAGATATATGCACATATATATGCAGATATGTCAGTTCTTTTTCTGAATTCAAATAGCATCATTCTTTGCAAGATCTTTGCAGTTAATTGGAGTATTTATAATAGAATGGCTTGGTTTCTCAAAGTTGTTCTTAAAATAATACTGCTGCTACTGTATACAGTGTTCTCTTGGTTCTGTTCATTTCACTCTTCATTATTTCATGGAGGTCTCTCCATACTTTTCTAAAGTCATTGAGCTCATCATTTCTTATAGCAGCTTAATATTCCATCATGAATATATATCACAATTTATTTATCCATTCCCTGATTGACAGGCATCCCTGCAATTTCCAGTTCTTTGTCACCATAAAGGGAGTTGCTATAAATATTTTATAACATGTAGATTCTTTTCCATTTTCCCTAATCATCTTGGGAAACAGACCTAATAGTGGTACTGCTGGGTCAAAATGTATAAGCAGTTTAATGACTCTTTGGGCATAATTCCAAATCTCTCTCCAGTGGTTGGATCAGCTCACGGATCCACTAGCAATGAATTAAGGTCCCAATTTTTCCACATTCCCTCCATCTTTTCTCACTTTCTCCTCCTATCATTTTAGACAATCTGGTAAGTGTAAAATGACATCGCAACGTTGTTTTAATTTGCATTTCTCTAATCAATAAACATTTAGAGCATTTTTTCATATGACTACAAATTGTTTTGATTTCTTCATTGGAAAGCTTCTTGTTTATATCCTTTGACCATTTATCAATTAGGGAATGACTCGCATTGTTATGGATTTGACAAAGTTCTTTATATATTTGAGATATGAGACCTCTATCCAAGGAACTGTCTATAAAAATGTTTTCCCAGTTTTCTGTTTTCCTTCTAATTTTGGCTACATTTGTTTTATTTGCACAAAAAAAATTTAATTTAATGTAATCAAAATTATCCATTTTGCATCTCATAACACTCTCTATCTCTTGTTTGTTCTTGAATCCATAATCCATGTTCATGAATCCACTTATCCATAAGTCTGATAGGTAATATGTTCCATGTTCTTCAAATTTTCTTATGATATCGCCCTTTATATCTAGGTGATGTATCCATTTTGACCCTATCTTGGTAAGTGATGTTAAGATATTAGTTTCATCAGAACTATTTGAACCTTAAGAATTTCATTCCTATAATTGAAAATTTTCCACCTTGGAGCTATCTCACTTGGAACTGTTCACGGAGACTTTGACAGCCCAGCAGAGCATTTTGTGTGCCCAAGGTAAATTTCATAAAGTGTGTCCTCAAAACAACTTTTTGAAAAAAACATATATATTGATACCTTCTGTCTTTATACCACAGTCGCTTCTGAACTCACCTCTCCAGATTGAATCTTGGCTTTGGATAAGGAAAAATAATTAATTAATGTCATACACAAACCAAGGCTTCTGGTATATGCACTATTCTCACTAAGGTAATTTTTGTGAAGTGTAAATCTGACCCTGACCTCCTTCTGCTCAATGAATTCCAATAGCCTCCTATCATAGTCAGCAACATATGTAAAGTCCTTTGTTTGGCATTTAAAGCTCTTCATAACAACCTTACCCTTTCCTACTCTTTTTTCTTGCATGATTCCAAATTGATAACAACCTATTTGGATCACTTCACTGCCCTACTAACAATGCCTCCTCAGGCCTATTTTCCCACAGCCTCTCCAGCACAGAACATGCCTGTTTTTGCTTGCCTCTGTCAATTTTCAGGGTGTCAGAGTTCATTTAACTTTCATTTCTCTTCCTTTTATTGATTTGGAGGGTGTTTTCATGCGGTCATTGATGGTTTATAATTCTTCTGAAAACTTTTTGTTTATAGCTTATGGTGTATCAGTTGGAGAACAGTCCTGGTGTTACATATATTGCTATCAATTTCTGGTTCATTTTAGGTCTCAGACTATGAGAAGTGACATCTTATATTTTCCTACTCTCCTATTTCTCTTCTAATTCTGTTTTTGCTGACTTTATTCATCAAAAACTTTCAAATTAGCCTTGAATGGGTTGTTTTAAATTCTTATTTCATTCCATATTTGCTTCCAAACAGACACATGGAAGACAGAAATCAATCCAGAATCTCAGAGTTCATCCTCCTGGGCCTTTCAGACCAGCCAGAGCAGCAGAGGCTCCTGTTCTTCTTCTTCCTCCTTATGTACCTGATCTCAGGGCTGGGAAACCTGCTCATCATGCTGGCTATTAGCTATGACACCCACCTCCACACCCCCATGTACTTCTTCCTCAGTAACTTGTCCTTGGTCGACATCTGCTTCACCTCCACCACCATTCCCACGATGCTGAATAATTACATATCCCAAAACAGAACAATCTCTTATGCTGGGTGCCTGACGCAAGTATTCTTCTTCATTTGGTTTGGGGGGATGGATAGTGTCCTCCTCACCACCATGGCTTATGACCGCTATGTGGCTATTTGTGACCCACTCCGCTATGGCACAGTCATGACTCCAAAGGTCTGTGCCCTTCTAGTAGGAGTGTCTTGGTTTTGGTCCTATAATAATGCCCTGACACACACCGTCTTGCTGGCTCGACTCTCATTCTGTGACCATAATGAAATCCCTCTTTTTTTCTGTGACCTCCGTCCCCTGCTGAAGTTGGCCTGCTCAGACACCTTCATCAATAACTTGATAATCTACACAATGGGAACGTTGACAATAATTCTTTCCTTCACTGGAATACTGATCTCCTACATTCACATTTTCATGACTGTACTGAAGATCTCATCTGTGAGGGGGAAACAGAAAGTTTTCTCCAACTGTGGATCCCACCTCACTGTGGTCTGTCTCTTCTATGGGACAGTCATTGCAGTGTACTTTAATCCAACATCCAGCCACATAGCACAACAGGACACAGCATCAGCCATGATGTACACTCTGGTCACCCCCATGCTGAACCCTTTCATTTACAGCCTAAGGAACAAGGACATAAAGGGAGCCTTGAGGACGCTCATCACTAAGAAACCAGGATTCACTCTATGATTATAAGATACCTTCCTAAGCTTTGGTGCCTGAGTCTCACACAACAACCCCAGTGCTGTGGGAGAAGGTTTGCGATAAGTCTTTTCTAGTGTCACAAGAAGTCAATCTGTTCCCCTCTTGACCTGCACAGGATGAAATGTGACATGATGAGTAAAGCACTGAACCAGTTGTCAAGATTCTTGGTTCTGGTGCTTTTCTACTGAGGGAATTGTGGGAATTGAGTGAACCATACTGACTCTACCTTATGTCTCAATTCTGAATCTAGCTCAGGTTGCTTTCTGTTCAATGATAGGTCTAGTCCTATTTCTGTCTACTGAGAAAATTTTATTCAATTATGGGAATTGTGGGAAAACTTTATTGCATTGTGTAGAATTTAGCCCTGCATGGCTAGGAAGCTGGACCACCACTACCTATTGCTCAAAGAACCTTAACTAAGAACACAAGTTATGCCAACCAGAAACCCAGTCAGATCCAAAAATTGATGCAAGGTGTTTTCTCACCATCCTACATCTCAAGCAACCCATGTGTCTTATCTGAAAACGAGCCCTATACTGGTCAATTAGTTATTGTTTCTATGTTCCTTTGATTGAATATAGACACTTGGGGAGAGTAGGATGTCTCTTTTTCTGATCTCTGTTTATTCTCCTCCTCCCAATTTAAAAAAAACCCTACTCTTTCCTTCAACTAGAAATCATTATCTAATTATACATCCTATTTTGTATATGATTATTGTTATCTTTTAATGCATAAAAATCTATCTTCCCCCTGTATTCCCAACCTGATATGCAATTGGCATGCATTGCTTAATAAACCAATATGCTCAGAAGCTCGAACTTTGTTTCCTCAGTCATTTCAGATTCCACCTATCACAGTTTTTGGCAAGCCAAACCAGGTCAAGTTAGGACTCTGACCCCCTGGACAACAGCTTTTTAGAAAAACCCCTAGACTACTCTGGTTAGTCTTTCACTGAAGGAATTCTTTGCTGAAGACTGCCCTTCAGAAATCAAACTCTCCTTGATTTCAATCTTCTTCCAAGCTAAAGGAAGGTTTATTCCCACACTGCTGGGAAAGATTTACCCACACAATGCAGGGAAAAGTTTACCCCCACTCTGAAGGTTGGGGAAGGATTACTCCCTGGAAGGGACCAATGGGTTCCAGTAATAGTAAAATGCCAAAGGACTCTGCCTTGGAAAAATTGTCATGAGACTAGGGGAAGAGTATGCTATTAAATTGACACCTCATTAGGGAAATTCTTATTGGCCTGAAACTTCCCATACAGGAGTGGAAAGTGTGAATAAAAAATGGAATTCTTAAATTATGCTAAAATATATTTTTAAAAAAAACCAAATGGATCCTAAAATTGGCCTGAAGAGGGGACATTTAATTATGGCAAATTAAAGGCTTTGAGATTAGACTTTCAGTAAGAGATAAAGAGGCTAGCAAGTACATCTTTGTTTTATCATTTTGTCTGTGTTTTTATTTCTTTGTAAAATGCAGGAAAATCTTTGTCTTGTGTCCTGTTTAGTGTTGTTTGTAGATTCTGCTACCTTGAAAAATTTCTAAGGGGAAAATGCAGCCAGCCAGAAAGACTGCTAAAAAAGCAGCCAAAGAGTTAAGTATACTGGGGAAGATGAATGAAGTTTTGTACTTGAAACAGTGATGCCAAACTATCTGTCCCAGTAAGCAAGAATAACCCCCCACTTTAAGCTTTTCAGTGGGAGATCAGGTTAAAAAGAAAAAAAAACATAAATTGCTACAAACATCTTAGTAGATTTTGAAGGTTTGGAGATTAAGGAGATTGGAGAATAATCACTAAGGAGTTTGGAGATGAATCATTTTAACATTGCAAGAGACTTTTGGTAATTGCAGGAACTCACCCCCTTCTCTCTGTCCTATCTGATAAGGCACTTAGCAGAAGCCTAACATATCTTAGTGAGTTTTGGGGGTACAGTCTACAGAATTTTTTCAAAGAAAAATAAGAATTAAATTCTATAGTTTCATGGGGGGAAAAAAACTTAGATCCCTTTTCTCCTGAAGACTGATGGAGCTATTTTTTATTTTGTTGGTGGTGGTAATATCTTTCCATTCTTTTTATTTTGTAAATTTTTTTATTTATTTTAAACTTCAGCAGAAAATGAAGGGGCATGTAGGTGGCACAGTGGATAGAGCTCCAGCCCTGGAGTCGGGAGGACCTGAGTTCAAATCCAGTCTCAGACCAGACACTTGACACCTATTAGCTGTGTGAGCCTGGACAAGTATCTTAACCCCAATTGCCTCGCAAAAAAAAAAATGAGAAAAGAAAAAGAAAACATTACCATGTACACAGCAGAACATAAGAGAGGATTCAATATAAAATAAGAAATTTCCCTTTCAAGAAAGCCTATATGGTAAATACTACACATTGTTTTCACAGCTGCCCAGCTTTTCTTTGCTTCCTTGTAGGTTTTCTTTTGTTTTCTGCCGTGCACTTTTTATTTATTTTTTCCCCTCCTTTCTCCCACCTCACCCTAAAGAAGGCTACAATTAAGCATGGATATATGTACATATACAGAGATATCTATAAACATACACATATAGACTCATATACATATATGTAAGACCATATTATACTTACTTCCACCTATCATCTGTTTCTCTGAAGGTGGATAGCATCTTCCTTCATAAGTCCAAGTCTTTCCATGGTTTAGTTTGGTTTGGGGTTTTTTGGCTAAGCAATGCGGTTAAGTGTCTTGCCCAGGTCACACAGCTAATAAGTGTCAAGTGTCTGAGGTCAAATTTGAACTCAGGTCCTCTTGATTCTAAGGCCAGTGCTCTATCCACTGTGCCACTTAACTGCACCCACCATGTTTTTCTAAATCAACCAGCTCATCATTTTTTGCACCCTAGCAATATTCCTCCCAACCATATCCTATCTGAGAGATTGTCTATGGAAATGTTTTCCCAATTTTCTGCATTCCTTCTATTCTTGGCTGCATAGGTTTTATCTATATAAGAAATTTTTAATTTAATGCAATCAAAATTTTCCATTTTATACTTCGAACTTTTTTAGCATAATGAACAAGACAGCTAGCTTGAAACTAATCTCAGAGTGAAGAAAAAAATAGGCATACGGTTAGGAATTTGCCTCTTGTTAACCCTTTCTTGATCATGAAAAGAGAAAAGCTTGCTTAAATCAGGGAGCAACGTTAAAAATGAGTAAATTTAAATTAAGGAATAGAGAGATTTAAACAGAAAAGGGGTCCATGAGGAGGGAGCCCCTATTATACCTCCACTGTCACTTTGGTCCAGACTCTGTTGTGGATAATGGAGACAGATGGGGGGAAGTTGGGGTGATTAGAACTTTCAAAACTTTATATAACAAAATTACTTGTGTAGGTAAACTAGAAACAAAGTCACCAAGGAAAATTAGAAAGAAACTATGTGTAAGCTGTTAAGAATCTAGAAATGTAACAGTATTGCAATTCATTGGAGTTGTACAAAATGTTGTGCTAAATCAGAAAGGAAAAATTCTACAGAAGAAAGATTAGTTATTTAGGTAGTTTTAGATATGATTAGGAAATACAATACTTTGCCCCTGAAAGTCCTTTCCAGGGGCATATTGCCCAGTCTTTAGAATCTTATGAGCTCCAAAGCAAGGGATGAGAATGTGAGGCTTCCCTTTGGAATCTCTCCCTGTCTTTCACTAGGAGTTAAAACTTGAAAAGCCTCAGAGAAATTGAGGGCAGGGCTAGGTTATGCACACAAAAGGAACTAATTTGGCTCTTTGGGTGATGTTTAAAAGAAAATAAATAAAAAGTTTATGGAAAGGTGAAAGTGCTAACAAGAACCTTTGAAAATGAGCTAATTGTTAACTCTAGGTAATAAATTTTAAAGTGCATGTGGCTAATAGCCCTGGAAAATTGAGGTTTTGATTTTGTGGTTGTAAAATCAGATTTGATTTGTTTAAGATTTGCCCTGTAACTAAATTATGATGTAATGAAATGTGTTCTCTTATTAATTATGGCATGAAAAGCAAAAAAAAAAAATACTGAGAAACATGTATGGATCAGAGAAACCTGATTTACACTCCTGCCTCAGGAATTTATTAGCTGTGTGATTTTGAGCAAGTTATCTTATCTGTTTACCTCAGTTTCCTAATCTGTAAAGAGGAAAATAATAATGGTACCCATCTTTCAGGCTTGTTGTGAGGGTCAAATGATATAATGATTGTAAAGTGCATAACACAGTGAGTGGCATATGGTAAGCACTATATAAATGTTAACTATTGTTATAATTATTATCATTTCTTTAACTGGATGTAATTGTTCCATACCTCTTAACTCTATACCAAGTTGTAGATGTGATTAGTACAAAGTGCTAAAGGTGACAAAATGAATAATTTGTATGTAAGATAATTTGGAAATGCATTAGACCAAATTAACATCATCTGACTGATAATAAGTTTTGTTTAATGTTTTATAAACATGTATTGTGTATGTTATGATTGTGTTTCTAACATTTTTTCTTGGATTGTGAAATCTGAGAAACCACCATATCAGAAATGCTATTAGACAAATAGCTTACCTTTTAATCTGGATGTCGTTAGATTATGAATTGAGCTATTAAAAGAATGCAATTTTTTTTAAATGTTGTTGTTCGTGTCCAACTTTTTGTGACCCCATTTAGGGTTTTCTTGGCAAAGATACTGGAGAAGTTTGCCATTTACTTCTCTAGTTCATTTTTACAAATGAGGAAACTAAGGCAAACAAGGGGAAGTGACATTCCCAGGGTCCCATAGCTAGTAAGTGTCTGAGGCCAGATTTGAACTCAGGAAGATAAGTCCTCTCAACTCATCCCAGCACTCCATCCGCTGCAACAACTAGCTAATCTGATTTTAAAAAATAGATATTTGAAAACTGTTAAATATTGAATGGGGTATATTTTGTTTTAAAATTAATAACAGAAGAGTAAATAGAATACTTAAATAACCCTATCTTAGTAAAAGAAATTGAACAAGACAA